CCTGAGTCAACCCTCTGACACAGTACCAAGAAATGTAATACAAAAGATAGGAATGCATTAGCATTCAAGAGGGGAGATTTCTTTAAAACTTGGTTATGTGCATTCACAATTGCTAGTCTAGTTTCGAATCCATGCTTTATCCAGATTTATTCATAGGTCAGAATTTAATGGGAAGTTAAGAAAAATACTGAAAACAAAAACACGTATGAGATGAAGCCAATTTACATTGCCTCCTCACAGCAAATAACTGCAAAAGTTACAAAATAATTACAATAATTACATTTGGAATAGAATGTGTCTTTTGAATCCCCAATCCCCTAAAACTCCTGTTAGTGTATTTTGTTCAAGCATCACTTTTTCCAGAAAGAAACCAATCAAACTCACCTGATCTCCAGGTGATGCCACTTCAGGGTTGAGAGGACCAGGATCACCCCGGATTATAATTCTGCCCCTTATACAAAACTGAGTATCCTGAAGGCAGTGATCACATTGGAAATTAATCCCTGGCATGCATATTGATGAGTCTACAATCTGCCTACCTCAGGTGACCTGCTGTAGGAAAGTTTTCCCATGTTTAAGAAATAATCCTCAAATGCTAAGGTTACTTTATGAGTAAGCGTAGTGGCAGTTTTTATACAAAAACCAAACTATAGTAAAAACCTTATTTATGAGAAGAAATGAATCAGACTTATAATTTAATATTTTTGGCAAAGACTTTTGAACCTTATTTTAATTCAACTCACTTTATTTCCTTGCTGATTTAATGGTAGTGTTCAAAAAAAGAATTCTTTCTCAATGACTAAATCCTATAGTGGCTCAGGGTGACAATTTAGAATCATGAACTATAGCAAACCAGTCTACAAGAGCACTGGGCTGAATGTGTATGGACTCAAGGAAGTTGGTTTCCTTCCTATATTTCTGATAGCTTATTATAGATTCTTAACCCTAAATGGAAATGCAGGTCTGGATATAATTGTAGGCTACAGAAAGAATTGGTTGGTCAATCTCGTGCTTCTATTGGCCTCTCACACACAAAGAAACTTTTAAACATAAACTGTGATAAAGAATCACGATAATGGGGAAAAAAATTAAAAAGCTTTCCATGGTAATCAAGATGGTGTGATGTTGATTTGTAAAGAATAAAGTCCAGAAATAGACCTGTACATATAAGGTCAATCAATTTCAACAAAAGTGCCACAGAAATTCAATGAGGAATGCATAATCTTTTCAACAAATGGCGAATAATTTCCATTAAAAAAACCCTGACTTTACACAATATACAAAAATTAATTCAAAGTGCATCTAGTACCTGAGAGCTAAAACTCTAAAACTTCTACAAGAAAACAGAGGAGAAAATCCCTGTGCTTTTCAACTAGGCAAAGATTTCTTAGATAAAACACAAAAGCATGAGACATTAAAGAAAAAAAATTGATAAGTTAACAGATTACACTAAAAAGACACTGCTAAGAAAATAAAGAGACAAGCCACAGACCGGGGAAAAATATTTGCAAGACACAGCCAATAAAGAATCTGTATTCAAATAAACACAGAACTCTTTCACTCAACAGGAAAACATCAGTAAGTAAAGAAAATGTGGGCAAAAAATCTAATAGACACTTCACTAAAGAGGATACCAGAATGGCAAATAAGCGCAGGAAAAGACGTCTCCATCTTTAGTCGTTAGGTAAACCTCCATCAAGACCGCAGTGAGATGCGGCAGCACAGCGACCAGAATCCTACAACGAAGGCGGCAGACGGCGCTGGGTGCTGGTGAACATACGCGGCAAACTGCACGCGTTGTGGGTGAGCATGCGCAATGGTGCAGCCACGAAGGAAAAGCCTGGAAGTTTCTCAGAAAGTTAAACATATCCCCACCTTACACCCCAGGAATCCTCACTCCTAGGTATTTACCCAAGAGAAATGAAAACATCTCTTAAAAAAAAAAATGTTAATGTTCATAGCAGCTTTATTTGTAATCGTCAAAAACAAACAATACAGATAGCTATCTATTGGTGAATGAGTGAAGAAACCTGGTACATCCATAAAACAATACTACTACTTAGTGATAAACAGGGATCAACTACTTATGACATGAAACGTGGATAAATCTCTAAAGCACTCTGCTAAATTTCAAAAAAAGACAGAAGGCTATTAATTCTTACATCCATTTATAGGACATTGCGGAAAAGGCAAAACTAGAAAGACAGAAATCTGCTAAGCAGTTGTGAGGGGCTGGGGTTGGGGGAGAGGAGACTGTCCACAAAAAGGGCAGAGGTCTTCCGGGGTGATGGAAATGTTCTTCTGCGGTAGTCATTATACGACTGGATGAATTTGCCAAAATTCACACTGTACTCTTAAAAAGATCAACTTCACTCAGTTTAATTACACTTTAATAAACCTGACTTCTGTAAAAACGAAGTTCTTTCAATCTAAACCATGAATCGGGCATTAATAATCCTTTCCTCCTTGTTACACCAAGTCTAAGCCCCGAGTTGGATTCCACAGCTCAAGGGCCAGTTGAACTGGGGCAGTGAGAGAAAATGGAAGCCGAGTGGCATTTAAGCAGAGGGAGGACAACGTGGCAAGCAGAGGGAAAGGAGATGCCTCCCAAAATCTTTATAAAAGACCTGGATCAGGTATGAACTGTGGAGGATAACTTGATATCCATTTAATTTTAATTTCAGGGAATTGATCTTACGGACATTTTCACACAAGCCAGGCGCAGCTTGGGTCTCCACAAGGAAGTGGAGACAACTAGCATTTTTGTTAGTAAGGAGATGCGCAGAGTGTACAACTCTATGCAGGGATTCGAAAGACTGAAGGAGCATGAGGCCTCCCCATAACAACACGGTAGTTTATTGAATAAAAAAACTGAGTTGCAGAATGGCATATTACATTGATCCTGTTCGAAAGCATGTTGACACAGGCGAAGGTCCGGAAGACGCAGGCCAGTTGTTAAGTGCTTACACAGAAAGCTTTCGGGAAGAGGCAGGTGTGGCTACAGGATGCTCACATGGGGTGAAGAAGACAGTTTTCAATTGTGTACCGTTCTCTACTTGTTCCAATAGACATACAGGACCTTTGATGATATAAATGAGTGAAACTAAAAGTTAAAGAGAAGCACCCACAGCAACAGTGACTAGCTGCCCGGGGTTTAAGGTAATGTAGCCAGATGTCATGCTGCCATCTTCTGGAACAAACAAGCATCTACAGGATCAACAAAAGATACACAGATTTCCTAAGGCAGAATGTCAAGGGTTACTGCAGTAAAAAAGATAAGGCAAGTACAAACTCTTCCGAAGCCCAGTTTCTGATTCAACCATTGATGAAAAGAAACAGCTAAAAAACAAGCAAGCATGATCAAATACAGAAATAATTAACTTTTCACAAATCTTAGGATACAAATGAGACAGTGGATAAAATTATGTCCAAATTGCTTTGATTTCTCAGACCTCTTCTTTTTTTTGAAAAACTGCCCATTTGTTATTTACAAATATCAACAAAACATTTATACCCACACACCCTAAAACAACAAAATGCATCAAGGGTTTACATTTTTAACTGGAGATGCCAGAAAACAATTTTACACTTGAAAACTCAAGCCAAAAAAAATTCCACAGATCAAATGTTTCCCTCATCCTCATTAGCACATTTTAAGAAATAAAATAAGCATGTGAAATTCTTAAAATTCAAATATAACTGAGATCATACATGATACAGCAAAAAGGGGGAGAAAAAAACAATCAGTAGTTTTGGCCTTCACATTAAATGAGAACAAAAAGCTTTGTAAAAAAAAACTCTTAAACATCGCATGTTTCTGAAAGTTTTTAATCTTTTCTTTTTAAATTTACCAAAACCAAAATGCTTCGTTTTTGCAGGGGGTGGGGGGGCGGGGGGAGTGTTGTGGGGGGGTTGACTGTTTTCAGTGTTAGAGATCTGCCAACCATACCAAACTATAAACGGGGAGGAAAAAGAGTCCATAAATAATTTACGTGTAAAGATAAAAGAATTTTTTAAACAATCCACCTTTTAGCAGAAGAAATTGGGGATCACTTTGAGTGTTAATGTAAAATACATTTAGTCTTTAGCAGCAGGGCTTCCAGACCTATTGGTGCCAAGAAGGTAACAAATAGTCTCTCTCTGAGGCGGGGGAAATGGGCGCTCAGCAGGAGCTTTCTTCCCTGTTGTGTTATTTATAGAGAGCTCTATTTGTTAACATGTTTCTGCTATCAGGGAGAGGGAGAGTTTAATGATTTAAAGGATTTCAAAGACAATTGTTTAATGATACAATGATTTATGTGCATTCACAAATTCCAGATATATAGCAATTTAGATTTTCAAACTGCTGTCATCAAAACAGTGATAGAAGAGCACACTGCTGAAATGTAACTGGAAAATCTGAAACAAGTGATAGTACTTGCTGTTGTGAAATAGAACTGCTGGAAAAGACCATGTTAAAAAAGAAATCAGCCATCTACCACCACCTTCATGTTAAGTAAACAAATTTTCCAGCGCCCTTTCTTATGAGTTTCTGGATTAAAAAAAATTTTTTTGTTTTAATGGAGAACCATGAATTAAATCCCATTACTAACTTGAGATTTCTTGGAATAAATCCTAACTGTGACTAATTGGAATGATCTGGAGGATGATTCAACTAAACTGCTCTGTTTTCACCAAAAACCAGTCCTGCACCTCCCACCTCACAAAGCATGTAAGAATCTTGTTTGAAGGACAAAATATTTTCACCCTAGTTATTTATAAACTATATATTCATTTTATAATGCTAGATTTATAATATTCTGATTATTGAAAAAATTTTCCAAAATGTCATGTTTAGGTTTTTATTTTAACCTATTAATATACAATTTTCACTTGAGACAAAGTAAATCATTAAAGCTTCTCAACTTTCAACCAACAAGTCTTACGATTTCTCTCTTTCCTGTTAACATTTTTTAACCCTTTTTTGGGGGCAGCATTTTAAAACACGCCTTTTCTCATTTTCTAACAGTGTTTAACCTTGTATTTATTACCTTCAATTTTTACAAAATTACATTAATTCCATCATTTTGTTTTTTAAACTCTTCTCATGCAGAAAGAATGAGTCACTTCTAAAAGACAGTTGTTTTTTACAAGGGAGACGAGACTCTAAAGCTTCAGTGAACATGTACTACTGTGAAAGCTTTAGTAAATATGTACTATTTGGGGAGGGAAGAACATTTTTAATAGAATGTTTCCCTTTGGGATGAAGAAATCACTTATTTCTACTTACAAATAGGTTCAACTCAAATGATTTTATTTGAAACTTTTAAAACACCGAAGTTGAACAAAGGATGAGAAGCAGAATGAAAGGATCTTTTTAAGCACGGATGGTTACCTTCTCTGCGGCCACAGGTTCTGTAGGAAAAGCCAGTCACTGCTTTGGTTCCCGGACATGTCCCACTCTTTCGAAGTCCTTTAGAGAGGTCTCTCCCTTTTGGCTGAGAGAGGTTCTTCGTTTGAAGCACTCTGACTGAGTCGTATCTTTCGAATTTGTGAGTGTAGATGTACAGAGGCTCTTCCTCCTCTTTCCAGATGAGTTGGAAGCCCTGGCAGCAAAGCCCTCCCTGTTTTCTTTACCTGACACGGGGAGCGACAGACTCTGGTTCTGTCCAGACGATGCAGTTTCTTGAGAGAGGGACAAGCTTTCAAATCCTCTGCTGTCAACCGTACATATTGTTCTCCTTTTCATTCTTTGGGAAGTGCAGGATGTGGAAGGAAATGGAAGTGAAATCCATACAAGCCCTTCATCTTCCAGATCTTTCCGTAGCCTTGTGCTACGTCTTACCTTTGTTTCGCTATTTGTTCTCTGGAAGGTTTGCTCTATGGAGGCAGATAAATCTTTATACAGTTCAGAATTTTCTAAACCAATTTCTAGAGAGTTGCTCACCACGTAGGGAGGTTTGTGATTTCCAGTTTTTTCCAAATATAAACTCTGGCCGTCGGAATAACACGTAGAGCGCCTTCTATGCTTCTTTTCTCCACCACTCACACCCGTGCCACTTTGACCTTCTATAGAGCTTCTTCCCAAAGCTGCATTCAGACTTTTACTGTCTTTTACATGGTCACTTAAGATCTCCTCATTTTTTAAGTCAGTTGTTAAGGGCATGGTCTGCCGTTTTCCTTCAGTAGCTATTAAAAAGTCATCCTGTTTTTCATACTTTATGTTTACATTTTCTGAAATTTTAAAGATCTGAAAAAGGTTCTCCACATTCTGACCGGCAGCAGCCAATTCCCGGGGTGGCGGGACGTTACTGGATTCTGCATCGTCTGATGCCAGGGGCTCTGCGGTCACAGGAGCACAAGAAACATGACCGCTTCCACTCTCGGAGCCGGCTCTCAGTCCGTTTTCGCCTTCCAACTTAATTTCTGCTTTTGGAATAGTTTTCTGTTCATTAGTGGCTATGGCACTTTTATTTAAATCTTGCTCTAAAGTAGCGTTGATAAGCGACAAGGACCTTTTCATGAAAGGGCTACACAATGCGGACAGATCATATTTATTAAAGCCTTGACTCATCTGCAAATCTTCCGGGTTCTGGGGCAAAAGATTCTCTCTTTTAGAAAGCTTTGTTTCTTCAAGTTCGCCATTGGAGTTGAAATCATCTAAGGGCATGTAAATAAGTTTAAATCTCACTAAAAAGTACCAATGGAAAGAAAGGTCAACGGATCAAACAGGTGCCATATCGATAGTATTCTGTGTTTTAGGCTTTCAAAACTCACAAGACTTACAAATGCTATGCCGTACTTGCTCCCATCTGTCATCCTGCTCTTTCTTTTTTAGCTCTTCCTCAAGCCACAGGTTAAGAAAATAGGAATTTAATACATGAGTGAATAAAGTACATAACCTCAGACCATGAAAATGAGAAGTGTATCTCAAATTGCTTCTTCTATTCTACTGTAGTTTCCACACTACAAGGTCAATTAGTATGAGGCAGCCCCATTTCCCATTTCCCGAAAAATGAATTACTGAAAATAGGTGCCGCCGTGCCTCGGTAACTTCTCTAGCTATGTTTCCCCTGAAATAGAGAAAAGAAAACTTGGAATTTTGGGGGATCTGAGGATTTAGCTGAAAGGGTACTTCTCAAGACGCTTAGGTCTTATGTTATGTGTTAAAAATTTTAATGTGATTTAAAATGCACTGTATTCTCAAATAGAACTGTTTGAATATTCTAAAAATCTTCCCCTTCCACCTTAACTGGAAGATACTGCATGTGGAGGCTGTCCTGTTTTTGACACACTCTGTCACATCACACAGGTGAACAAAACATTATCAACGTTTTAAAGCTATGTAGCACAGCCTTAAATAAATACATTTTAAAATAATTTTTTTTTTTTTTTTTAAATGGGGTGCCTGGGTGGGCTCAATTAAGTCTCCAGCTCTTGATTTCAGCCTAGGTCATGAGCTCAGGGTTGTAAGACAGAGCCCCAGGTTAGGCTCTGAGCTCAGCAGGGAGTCTGCTGGAGGTTCTCTCCCTCTCCCTCTGCCCCCCGCCCAGCTCCCATGTGCATATGTGCACACGTGCATGCTCTCTCTCAAATAAATAAATCTTTTAAAAAAAAATTAGGCTATGTAACACAACCTAAACAAATTCAGGCTTTCAGCGTTCTAAACCTCAGTACTATTGGATGCCATCTCTCTTGCTATCTCAGAGAGTAAGGTTTTTAACTGGCCCAGTCAAATAAGTATAAAAAATGTTTTAAACAAAATCAGAACTGTAAGATATACAAAACATCAGCTGAGCCACAAATCTAAAAACCAGTATTTCATGATTTGATTACTTCAAGTCAGGTCATGTAAGGCAGAGATTAACACAGCGTCCATCAGTGGCAACCAACTAATATGTCAGCTGGGCTCTTTATACAACTTTAAAAAACGATGTTTAATGTATTTTTCATGAAAGTGGCATGCTAAAGAAGAAAGGTAGGGGACAGGGATGGAGGGAGGAAGAGAGGCAGAAAGGGACAGGGAAAAATGGAAAAGGAGGAAGGGAAGATTCTGCTTTAAACCCTTATAAGGGATGATACCCTTTTATATATAGATATATAGATATACATATATTTTTATATATATAAGAAATACTTCGGGTATTTTTAAAAAAGGAATTCTCTAATAAGATGCAAGATGGAAAACATATACTAACAGTCATTGCTTAAACATCTTTGGAAAAACTCTAGTCAGGAACTGGGGATATAATGAGATCACTTAGTTTTCAGTCTCAAGGGGATTGCAATTTGCAGAGAAGGGAGATAGAGGGAACATTACAAACTTCATGGTAAATAAAGGTATAATGCGAACAAAGACTTCTCCTGGAAAGGTGGCCAGCAGAGCTAAATCTTCAAGGATAAGCAGCATTAGGCCAAGATTAAAAAGAGGTGGGCTGGCCAGCTCCCTGTCCCAAGACAAGCACATAAAAGGGCTGGGGCAGGAGCAAGGTGTTTGTGGTGATGGGCTAGCTGTGTTTGTTTAAACTCTGTGCTTTCCGGAAGTTGAGAAGTAGGCAGAAGCCAATAGTCTAGGGCGGCATATGCCTATTCATCCTTGGATCTATTATAAATTCTACAGATATGTTGCAAATGGAATGCGGGTTCTACACACGTGATGACAGACAAAGACGGCTGTTTTTAAAACTATTCTATACAAAATTAACACACCAAATGTATGGAAACATACTCTTATTAATTTCAGCATGATTTGGTTAATTTTAAAACTCAGGCATTATAAAACAGAAGCAACTCCAATTTTTATCTAACCAAGGATGTCAGCTGACTTAATCTTTGCTTCTCAACAAAACTGTTTCAAGGTAATCAAGTTCAATTTATAAATGTTATTTCTAGTAGATGCTTTAGCAGTGTGAACTCTACTGAAACATCACAGGGCAAACTTTAAAAATATTTTTGTCCTTGATTACAAAAGATCTATTACTGAGCCATCACCATATTTACTCTTCATGATGGACCATAACACGATACAGAATTCATTATAACAGAATGCTATAAAAAACATAAAATGCTTTACAAAGAAAAAGGATGGAAAGAAGTTATTTCCCCTGAAATTATACAAACTATCTTGTGTCTTAAGTTTCTCTGGGGAGAGGATCCAGAGCTCCCATCAGATTCTGAAGAGGGTTAAGGTTATGAACTACTGCTTCTTTAACTTAAAAATCTCCTGGTAATATGAGGGATGGTTACTATTTTTACAGTGTACAACTGCTTTTTTTTTTAAAGATTTTATTTGTTTATTTGACAGAGAGAGATCACAGGTAGGCAGAGTGGCAGGCAGAGAGAGAAGGAAACAGGCTCCCGCCGAGCAGAGAACCCACAAATGTGGGGCCCGTCCCAGGGCCCTGAGATCATGACCTGAGCCGAAGGCAGAGGCTTAACCCACTGAGCCACCCAGGCACCCCACCTACAATCACTCTTTAACAGTGACGAGGAAAAAGGGAAAAGAAGGTGCAACAGCAATAAAGTGGAGGAGGGGATAAAACATCAATAGGAAAAGAGTAGAATACCTGAACACAGTCTTCTGGGGCCTGGAGTGGGAGGCATTATCTCAGAAAGCTCAGGCAGCTCCGGAATAGGACTGAGCAGTGGCTTCTTTGAAGCAAGGTCTCTTTCCCCGTATAAAGACTTCTGAACGCTCTTCTTTCCCTTTGCTTTCTTCTTCCTGAAACTTTTTAAAGCCTGTGAAATGTATTAAAATGCCGTAATGGGGAAAGATGTTACACCATATACAATTTTGACCCTCTAATTCTTAACAACAACAACAGAAAATTCTTACTGAAAAGGACCAGTTATGCCATTTAAACTTTTAGAAATTCTGAGTTAGGCGTGGAGGGCTGGGTAGCTTACACAAAGTCAAATAGAATATGAAGCAGAACTCAATTTACAAATGACCTGATAAGCAATGGTCTACATTTCCACAAAATATTTGCCAAAATAAGTTCTGGGTAAGTGAAAGATAGATGCTATAGATTTGACAGACTTAAGACATGAGATATTTGAAAGTAGGATACAGTTAGGATCACTCGCGATTAACCTTGAATGAGCTATCTACTGGAAGCTATGGGATATTGTCTTCTGCTCAGAGGTTTGGAAGAAGAAATGACAGTTGTGTACACAAATGTTAAAGATAACACAAAGCTAGGTGAGGTGCTTCCAACAACAGATGATTTCATCAAGACTAAAACGAGTAAGTCAAAATAAGATGGGTTAATGAGTACAAACAGAAGATGACAGACAATGGCCTGGTAATAACTGATGGAAAACACGTGGGCTTCTATATAAATTAAAACTGTTCTAATAATATCTGGAATGCAGTATTAAATTCAGTTTTGACTGCCATGTTAGCAACTGAGAACTAAGGTTCACTATTAAAAAAAGAAGTTTCACCTAGAAAGGACTTCGGGGAAACTCAAACATTGCATTGTTATGAACAAAAAGAAATACACTCAGTGTGTTAATACTGGAGAGAAATGGACTTTAGGTCAACATAAAGAATATGTTTTTAGCAGATAAAGCTGCCAAAAACTGGAATCCATTCAAACATTTATTGAGAGATCACTATGTATAGGTCTTAAATGGTAAGGTGGAAAAAACTAAACCGAATGTGATTTTTAGGGGGCTCCCAGTCTTAACAGAAACCTATAAATATATAAACATTTATATATATAAACTATATATATACATATATATTTATATATAAATATATAAACCATGACAGACGATATGGACCGACATGGGTACCTGGCCTACAGGAGGCTCCATAAAGCAAGCAAGGCCCTCGTATGCAAATGGTATGAGCCTGAAAACAATGAAGGTTCACTGCACAGTGATTCAGGGAGTGACAACATTTGATTTCACATTTAAGAAAGATGATTTGGGTGAAAGCATAGAAACTAATGATGTGAAAGAGTGGCTGATGTATTCAAGAGTACAAAAATGGCACAGAACTGTATGTTCCTTGAGATATCTATAGATATCCTGTAAAAACAAAACAAAATAAAACATTCCATGGAAAAATAATTTTAGAACTGTACAAGATAAATGTTCCTCTTGGTGATTTATAATATACATTTCACATTACATTCTCTGAGAAGTCCTCAGTATAAATAATCTCCATACACATTAGGAATATGCTGGGTTAACTATTTTTCCATGAAATATATATATATATATATATATATATATATATATATATATATATATATATACATATATATATTTTTATGGAACATCTGTTGACATTCCATGAAACAGTTGGGGAAACAACAGTTTGGTCAATGGATGTGGAAACCAAGAGAAAAATCTTAACTTGGGCTCCAACAGATGAGATTCCATCTCTGGTGCCAGATGGCCGACTCTGCCACCTAAATACCTTCCCATCTTAGGTAAGTCACCTCACCTCTCTGTACCTCCACCTCCTCCCTGCAAAATGGGAACCACACCAGCACACATCACAGATCCCTGCGGCGAGTATGAAGTTAGTTAACATAAGTGAAATGGTTAAAATTAGGCTTGGGCCGTACACAGAAGATCTGTGTCAGCTCTTCTCGTTCTCTCACATTCCTTCCTAGCACTATGAGAACAGATACAGGGAAATTTTTTAAATATTTTTTAATACCAAATTATGATCAGTCTTACTGTGGGACACAGGCACTGCACGTTAATATGTTACAGTCACTGTTGTCAGATTATAACTTCTAGAATAGCCTCTGATTCATAGGTACAGAAAATACCCTTTTAGTAGGATTTTGGACATCTTTGTTTATATGAAACATCTCTAGAACCTGCAACAGTGCTGGCACATAATGACTTCTCAACAAACAAGAACAAATGAATAAATGTGAAAGGAGAGATCTAGCTAAACTTCATAAAATTTGCTACCCACGATGAAAAGCTAATAATGCTTTCTCATTGTTATGGACCAGCAGAAGTACACCAACCAAAGACAAGAGGAAAGAGTAAAGCACTCATACTCTCACGAACATACGTCTAGTATTGCTTGTCCATCAGAAGGTTTTATCTGCATGGGCTAGAACCTTATCAAAATTTAAGTCTGCTCCAATACAAAAAAGCCTTGCTGATACTGTAACAAAGCCAGCCACACATGACTGGGATCCTAGGGAAGCCACAGATCTACAAATGTAAGGCTGGTTTATGACTTAAAGCAGATGGACAACTGAAGGTATTATCCCCAAAGTGATTCCATTTATTCCAGACCAGAATCACCAGTATTTCTTCTCAGTGAAGGAGATCGTGAAACAGACATAAATCCTTATCTTTTATTTGCATAAATAATACTTAAGTTGCTTCCAGTGAGTTGCTTCAAAATTATTTCAAAATAATTCATGGACATGGCAACAAATCAAATTGTACAGGAAAACTTATGATGAAAAGCACGTACTTCCTTACTCGTCCTATTTACTTCTTGGTTCCATTTTTAGTTCTTATAGCTAGTTACAGCTCTCTAAAGAGGCTCATAGTGTTGTATTTTTAGCTTTCTATGGAAAATTTAAGCACACAGCAGGTAGAATAGTATATTGAACCCCAGGAACCCATCCTCTAGCTTCAACAATTACTAACCTATAGAAATCAGGATTCATTTATAATCCCCTTCCCTCGGATTATTTAAAGCAAATCCCAGGCATTACTCCATTTCGTGTGAAAATCCCTACAGCATCCCTAGGAGATAAAGCTCCTTTTTTTAATTCCATAATAAAATGAAACCTTTTATTACTTGGCATTGTATTTTATTATTGATGTTTCCCTTTTACAATGTCATTTCCCCCCAGCTCTATTGAGATATAATTGACAGATAAAATTTAAGGTATACAATGTAATGACTTGAGTGAGAAAAGCCAGTCCCAAGAAGTTACATAGAGTGTGATTACATTTATATAACATTTCAGAAATGACAAAATGAAAGAAATGGAGAACACATTAGTTTAAGGTGGGGACAGGCATGGGAAGTAGGCAGGGTTATGAGGGCAAGAGGAGATCCGTTTATTTTGACTGTTGGTATTTTTCTATGTGATATTGTCTAAATTTTTACAGGCTATCACTGGGGGAAACTGGAGAGAGGGTACTTGGGAAATCTCCGTAATTCTTGTTACAACAGCCATGTATCTAAAATGATCTCAAAATAAACATCCCAGACACAGAGAACAAAAACAGCAATTCTTCCTATTATTTCCTCAGAGATCTAATTTCTCCAATTGGCCCATCAATGTTTTTTACAACTGTTCAAAATCAGGATCCCAATAAGGTCCTCAAACATTCCATTCGGTTGGCAGATCTTATAATCTATAGTTCTTTCTTCCCTCACCATTTGATGAGTAAACTGAGGAACTTGTCTTGGAGAATTAGCCACGTTCTGGATTTGGTTGACTGCAATCAAGGTGTCTTTATTTTCCTCTCTCCCCTACACTTCCTAAAACTGGTCATTAGATGCAGGCTTGATTAGATTCAGTTTTTTTTTTTTTGAAAAGATGATTTCATGGGTGCCTGTAGACTTCTTCATTGCATTGTTCTCTCCCCTGTGACACTGTGATTGACCGGGGGGCTCAGATGTCCACTGCAATCCATCCATTCTGACTCGCCCATCAGCCTACTACCTACCTCATGACCAAAAACTTTCATGAAAGTTTTTTTTTTTATTAGTAGAAATTCTCCTATAAGTAACTCTCTCATCAACTATTTGCTTCCCAGAAATAAAACTTCTGTATTTTCCAGTTTTCACAAAAACGAGCTGGTGTCCTGGATAGCTCCTAAGGTGACCTTTAAGATTTTTTAACTATTATAAACTGAAGTATTTTTTTTCACATTTGAAGTCTGTTTCAACCCACTGCAATTGTTTTTTTTTTTTTTTTCTTAAAGATTTTATTTATTTATTAGAGAGACAGTGAGAGAGGGAACACAAGCATGGGGAGGGCAGAGTGAGATGGAGAAGTGGGCTCCCCACTGAGCAGGGAGCTCCATGTAGGGCGTGATCCCGGGAACCTGAGGTCATTACCTGAGCCAAAGGCAGACACTTAACCGACCAAACCACCCAGATGCCCAGCCATTGTTATTTCTGATAGTCACACTGTCCTATCTTTGGTGAGTGGGGCCCTTCGAAATGGTTTGAGGAACTTCCCCGTGGCCCCAGTGGTTTCTTTCTTTTCTTTTTTTTTTTTTTTTAAGATTTTATTTATTTGACAGAGAGAGATCACAAGTAGGCGGAGAGGCAGGCAGAGAGAGAGGAGGAAGCAGGCTCCCTGCCGCGCAAAGAGCCCAACGTGGGGCTCCATCCCAGGACCCTGAGACCATGACCTGAGCCGAAGGCAGAGGCTTTAACCCACTGAGCCACCCAGGTGCCCCCCCAGTGGTTTCTTAAAGCTTCCCTCACTGCACACTGGTACAGACCCAGGCTCGTTTCCTACATGCGCTTTTCATAAATCCGAAAACAGCCATTTCACTCCGGAATCTTGATCACTTTTAGTTGAAAATGGTATTCAGAAATGGCAACCTAGGTACCAGGGTTGCTCACTGCTTCTAAACCTTGACAGAGCTAGGAGGTCTTTTTTAAAGGAAAAAAAACCATGAGTCCATACTGATGTTTCTAATTCAAATTTAGCCTAACAAGATTCTGATTTTGAATTTTTATTTTTTGTCTAATGATAAAGTCTGGATTCCTGACAGTA